GGTTCCCAATGAAGCTTTGATCATCACCATACTTAAAACATATTGTTCCTAATAAATGTGAAGATAAATCTAAAATATATAGAGCGATACTACAAACAGATGTTTGAAACACGTCTTTACAGGGGCTGCACTTGTATACTGGGGATGGAAAACAAAAGATATACAACACGACTCACCTGATTCACTTGGTTCTTTCAGATCATATCTAAAAGCATGTTTTTCCAAGTTCATGTAGAAAACCATGGGAAACTGCTCACATGTGGACCAGTTTATTAACAGAACATCAACAGATTTCATATAAAAATGCTATAATAAGCTGTAAAACAACTGCCTTGAGACTAGCGACTTATGTGCTCTTACCTTGTCTTAGGAGCTTATCTCTCGTGTCAAGAATCTCAAATCTTTCTGCAGCGGTTTGGCCAACAGCGTTTACCAGGCTCTTTAACTTGGGAGGAACTGAAATTAGAAGAAATGAAAGTGAATTATAAAATCAATGCCAACAAAAATGATGTCACTGTTAGCAGCTTCTTAGCAGGTTTTGTACCACTCCTGATTTAAGATTGTATTTGAGCATAATAAAAGTTGAGCATAATAAAAGTGAGAGAGAAATCAATGCAAAAAAAAAAAAAAAAAATGCATTATGTCTTCATGGTTTCTTTTACCATCATGAACAATCAGTAGATCTGCACATTTCATAACTATATTGAGAGGTTCAGAAATGAGCCAATTAATACTCAATAAAAAAAACTTCTATAAAAATCCTGGATTCTAATACACATATTAAATAAATAGATCACTCAGTCGGGATAGGTACCCTATGACTTTCTGGCGATATTATAAAGTCAACTTCTGGTCTGATTTACTCCAGTTGTGAACACAACTATAAACTTATTTCATTTGAAACTGGATAAGTTGAAATGCCAATACAGCATAAATACATAGGATATATGAATTTTTGAATGGATAAATTCCATGGTAACTGGTCACTAACAGATGGATACATAAAGAGCAGATAGGATAACTGCCCAATTTAATTATTGCTCTTTGAAATTGCCAGACAGTATTTGGCAAAAACGGTATACTCAAAGCGAACAAACTGGTTCAATTCAACCAGTCTGAGAATAAAAGGTTTCATGTAACCCACGTTCTTCAGTTAACTTCACAATCATCGCAGTAAGTGCTTCATATCTATTATTTTCAGCAAAAAGTGAAATCAACCCACAGATGTTTTCTGTTGATACAGGCTGAGATAGGCAGCTTAACTGCATTATGCGTTCACCATGAGGATATCCCCAATATTGTTCTTATCAATGTATCAGCAATCAATACACATCTAACCAGCTTGAAGCATGCAATTTTCCAGATAAAACCGGACAGACAGATGGAGCGGTGAGAAGTGGTTTACACCTCCAGTGTCTCTAGGGACAGATTCACAACGGTAGTAAATCAGACTGGAATCAAGACTTAATGACATCACCAGACTGTCCTATTGCTTTATTTCTGACTGAATTGTTTTACACCAGTGGGAAGTTTAGAGACAAGTTCACACAAGTGGTAAATATCCAGGGTAGACATGGATGAACTTATCTGAAATAACTTACAATGAGCACTGTGATGTCATATCAGAATAGAAAATGTGCAAGAATTTGTGTGAAGTGGGGATAACTTTCACCAGGAATGTCGTCTTAGGAAAAAACTATATAAAAAGTTCCCACAAAACATGGTGAATACAATATATTATTCAACAGACCGTAAGACCAGAAATACATCTGTGGTTAAAATTCTGTCAACTTGTAGTCAGTCACTGCTTTACTGCACTGGCTACTCTGTCATTATTTCTCCCCTTGATATCTCATGATGTCTCACTTGACTTCACAAGGTACCTAAGCTTTGCGGCTCACTTGGATAATTCCCACTGAAGTAACTGACACCAAAGAACCACCATACTAGCTTGGACTGAAGTTTTACAACATAGGGAAGCCTATTCAGAGACCGTATGACACAAGTTGTTAATCAGGCAAGAATCAGAATAACTGACACCATATTGCTAATTGACAATTGATTCAAAAGCCATAAGAGTGAGAGGGGGGAAGCGGCCCTCTAAATGTTTAATTCATCAGCCTGGTGGCTTCATTTCCAGTGGAGATGAGTCTAGAAAACTTTGTATCTTGTCTCATCTCAGCAAGCCACTTGATAACAATTTCTAACCATTATTACTCTTTCTAATCCCTGCT